TCTCTCTCTCTCTCTCTCTCTCTCTCTCTCTCTCTCTCTCTCTGTGTGTGTGTGTGTGTGTGTGTGTGTGTGTGTGTGTCAGGTAGACGCCTTGATGCAGGTACAGACGTGCTGAAGATGAAGCTGGAGCTATGGCATCGCAGGTAAGTCGACAGGTAAGTTCCCTGGCCTCCGCCAACCTCTACTCGCACTGGCGTCGTCAACCTTTATCAGCGCCCAGCGCTCTACTCGAATACCTACAGCGCCCAGCGCGTTGACTACTGAAGACTACCTCGAATACTACCTGAACTGAGGCTGGACCCAGCTAAATGTAGCGCTGGGTCGGCCTCAGCTGCTCGGCCTCTGAATACCGGCTGTCCGATCTCCCTCTCGATCGACGGTCCTCCGAACCTGGCGCCTAAACCTCGACTGGCCTGAAAGGGCCTGGCGCCTAACTGAAACTGCGCCCGAAATGAAAACAGGGCCTGGCTCCAAAACGGTCCTGTGCCAGGGCCTGGTCTGCTGGCCTAGTTGGCCCCTGAATCGTGCTGGTCCCTTACCTGGACCGGTAGCGAGTCCCTAATGCGACCCTAGACCGCTGGGACCGATTAACCACCCTGAAACGATGCTGGGCCCTAGAACGGGCCCTGGACGGACTCCCAAGAAACCCCTAAGTCTACGGTCGGGCCCTGCAGGAGCCCCTATGGGAACTGTGCATGCCACAACAGCCAAGTGGCAAAGCGGTACCTGCCTGGTGCCAGAACTGTACAAAGCACCAGTACGGCCAGACTTGTGTTTAGAACTTGAGAGTCAAAAGAAAGAGAGTGAAAAAGGGCCCTCTTCTGCTTTGAAAGGGAAAAAAAAAAAAAAAAAAAAAAAAAAAAGGACAAAGGTTTGGCAGGTATCATTTTAATGGGAGGTTGGTACAAGATTCCATGACAGGTCACCATGTGAAAGGGGAGAGAGAGGGCTTGCACTCACTTTTTGAATCGGTTAGGGTCTGAGGGAAGATAGCTTTCTTCATTGGAGGGGATCGCCTTTTGGCTGGGTTAGGGGTGGAGGGGGTGGAGGGAAGATATACATTTTCGCTGGAGGGGATCATCTTTTGGCTGGGTTAGGGGTGGACGGTGGATTGTTTCTCTTTCTGTTTTTGTTTTTGTTTTTGTTTTTGTTTTTGTTTTTGTGTCCCCTTTAAGAGAAATGCAATGAGACTGTCCTTCGGGACATCCGTTAAAATTGGAACAACACAGAGAAGATTAGCATCGCCCCTGCGCAAGGATGACACGCATAAATCGAGAAATGGTCCAAATAAAAAAAAAAAAAAAAAAAAAAAAAAAAAACCAGAAATGCAATGAGACTACCATCCACGGAACGGTCGAACGCAAGTCTCGCATCACATCGCACACACGTGAGACACGGAGAAGATACGAAGACCAAAAATAGTCTCAGCACTGTCAGCAGTCAATACCAAACGTAGCCGTCTTGTTCGTCACCAGCAGCTATGGCCGCCCAACTCGACATGCAGGTAAATCTCTCTCTTCTTTCTCTCTCATATCACCCTGTCTCCACCTCGTTTGCTCTCACTCTCACAGTCCTCACTCGCCGCTCAGAATCTCTCTCTCTCTCTCTCTCTCTCTCTCTCTCTCTCTCTCTCTCTCTCTCTCTCTCTCTCTCTCTCTCTCTCTCTCTCTCTCTCTCTCTCTCTCTCTCTCTCTCCCTGCTTCATACTACAGCTATGGCTATGGTGCCCAGCACCGTCGACTACACTACCCTATGCTCACTCTCTCTCGCTCAGTCACCACTCCAACGCACAAGACCGCAGCACGCTTCCACATTGAGTACGAAGCATAATGTGTTAACGTGCAAGTGCTGCTGGACTTTTGTACTTGTTGATCCGTCTTCCAGACTTCTTTCTGCTGGTTATGGGTTGGTCCCCTTGCCGTTGTTTGCTGCTTCCGGAAGCTTGTGGATTCTCGTCGGATCTGGCTGCTTGGGTGGACTGACTAACACTCGGTATAATCACCTTTGTTACCTTGGCTCAGTTGGGTGGAGCTCGTGGTGCGCACCTGAGGATAGACTCTTTGGACCATAACTGTTAGCTGCAAGGGACTTCCTACCACGTTCTACTTAACTCACCTAACTACTGTCTTCACCCAGATAGAACGCCCGGTCATTATCGCTGCATCTGGACTGAAAGTTGCCCCAAATACGACTATACTGACCAGGCAATGCGGGCATGCTATTCGGTGAAGACGGTAGGCATCTGTATTCAGTGACCAGGGTAAAAACGAAAGCTACTCTGCTCTTCTTAAAATCATTCGTGGATATCGTACAAGTGGCTACCTAGTAATGGGACTTAGGACTGGGACGCAAGTCTGGGACTCGGGACTGAACCAGGGGTACTGAGATCCATGAACCCTTTCAAGAAGGGTAGGCTCTAACACTTGCCTGCAGAGGATCATTTTTTGGCTGCATTAGGGGTGGAGGGAAGGTTGCTTTTTCTTTTCTTTTGCCCCTCTTTTCAGACAAAAGTTTTCCCTCCTTATTATTTGTACACCTGTATTATGTTAACGGCCCCTCCCCTGGCTGACTCTCTCTCCCAGATCTACAATAAGTTTCCCCCCCTTTATTCTTCTCTTTTTGAAAAAGGGTCGACGACCTTGATTATCCATCGGGTGCCCCCTTAGCCCCGCATTGGCCAACCAGTGGCAGCCACTGTTTTCAACTACGTGAAGTCCTCAAGTTTTGAGCCCGCTAGAAGTGTGGGTGCTGTTTCGTTTCTCCCCTTTTTTTGTTTTCACTCAGTGGCCCACTAGAAGTGTGGGTGCTGCTTAACAATGTTCTGAAGGCCTAAGGGTTGCGACTGCAAGTAGTGGGCCAAACAGCACCCACACTTCTAGTGGGCCCCTAGAAGTGTGGGTGCTGTTTTTTCATTCAGTTGGCCCACTAGAAGTGTGGGCATAAACATTGAGACTAAGGGTCGTGTTCGCACAAGAAATATGTCTGCAACTCTACGCAGACATGGGGACGTGAACAGCAAAAATGGGGGTGTCCAGGACTCGGAGAGGGAAAGGGGGGTTCAGAACTTGATGGGGGGGGGGGGAGGAGGGGGGAGGGGATGGGTAAAGAGAGGCATGGGGGGTTGAGGGGAGGGGAGGGAGTTGAAGGGGGGTGGAGTGGGTGTTTGAGGTGAAGGTGAGGGATGTGCTATGTTCCAAGTTCAATCATCACGCAAAACCCAAATGTGACCCAAGGACGGCCAAGGGTAAGGGTGGGGAATCAAAGAGCAATGCTGGAGGAGGAGGAGGATACGAAGAAGAAGAAGAAGAAGAAGAAGAAGAAGAAGAAGAAGAAGAAGAAGGAGGAGGAGGAGGAGGAGGAGGAGGAGGAGGAGAAGGAGGAGGAGGAGGAGAAGGAGGAGGGAGGAAAATGGGAGGAGGAAGAGGGAGTTGGAAGGAGGGAGAAGGAGGAAGTAGGAGGAGAACGGAGAAGAAGAAATAAGGAAGGAGGAGGAGGAGGAGGAAGAAGAAAAAGAGGAGGAGGAAGAAGAAGAAGAAGAAGAAGAAGAAGAAGACAAAGAAGACAAAGAAGAAGAAGAAGAAGAAGAAGAAGAAGAAGAAGAAGAAGAAGAAGAAGAAGAAGAAGAAAAAGAAGGACGACGAAGAAAAAAACGGACGAAGAAGAAGAAGAAGAAGGACGGAGAAGACGAAGACGAAGACGAAGACGAAGATGGAGACGGAGATGGAGACGAAGACGAAGACGAAGACGAAGACGAAGACGAAGACGAAGACGAACACGAAGACGAAGACGAAGACGAAGACGAAGACGAACACGAAGATGAAGACGAAGAAGAAGAAGAAGAAGAAGAAGAAGAAGAAGAAGAAGAAGAGAAGCAGCAACAGCAATAGCCAGTAGAAATTACTGTCACTTTGCCTTGGGTGAGAGTAACTCACTCAATATGAGCATGATTTTGGCTCCGGCAGCTGCAGGTATTCCCTGGACTGCAATAGGAAGCATAACGAGGGACGGGACGTAGAAGAGAGGTAGCCATCTCTGAATGAAGAGGTTGGCTGGCGAAAAGAAAGCGACGATGAGAGCTGCGAACTTCGGCACAATTACGTCGAGCGTGATGAGGCAGGTAAAGATACAAAACATCCCGAACAATGCACTTGGGAACCTGATGCCAGCGTCTAAGAAGAGCTTCTTCAAGAATTTGTCGAGCAAAAGGAACAGTCCTAGCGATACGATCAAATGAGTCGCGTCCTTCACCTGCGCGTAATAATGAAACACCAATCAAAATACAAAATAAACACTCAGCTGAGCCATCCACACCGAGAAGAGAACAACAGCCCATTCAGCCAACCAGCCATGGATTGGAGACAGGACATCAATAAGGGGCAGCAGGAAGGCTGGCCATTCCGTCTTTGCATCTTTTCTTAAATTCTGTTCTTTGCTGTTTCTTAAACTTTCTTTCAAAATTTCTTTCCTTTTTTGACTTTTTTAGTGACGGGCAATCGATGCCATCACGAGTCATAATGTGACCGAGCCTGCACAAAACAGAAATATAAAGAGAAATACAAAAACAACAATTATAAAGAACAATACAAAAAGAAATATGAAGAAATAACTGCAGGCCGCCAAGGCCTCACCTTCCCTTTTTTTTTTGTTTTTGACTAAGCTATATTGTTCTCTTCTTCAAATTCACAATTTTCAATTTTGCTACCTAGTACCTTCCTAGTACTTAGCACCTACTATTTACTCCTAAGCCTACACAGGTGACCCTGCAAGCATAGCGCATAGCTATACCCCTCTCACACTCAAAGGGATGCACGTTGCCCCCCGCACTAATCGGGAGGGGCCTCCGTTAGGGGGAGAGGGATGGGGGGGGGGGCTCACTAACTCATCACAACAATTACTTTTTGACTCTTCGACTTTCCGACTTTTCGACTTTTTACTCTTTTTTTTGGGGGGGTGTGGGGTGGGGGGTGCGGGGTGGGGTGGTTGACTTTGGCTTTTGAGTCTTGACCCTTTGAGTGAAGCACGACAAAGAATTTTAAACTTCTCAATCTTTTCCATGATTCATCCTTTTGACTATATACGTGCTGACGATTAGCAAATGTCTCACGACCACAACCATGATTAACTTATCTATTATTAAAGAGCGAAGCACCAAGACATTTTGTCCTCTCTCTCTCTCTCTCTCTCTCTCTCTCTCTCTCTCTCTCTCTCTCTCTCTCTCTCTCTCTCTCT